TTGCTTAGTTTCACAAAAGTTGAAAAACAGTTTTAAATTTTCAATCAGTTGAGGAGCTAGCTGTCCTGGAAACAGAAATCCTCTGCTTAAACATAGATCAGATACAAATTTATTTATTTATTTGTTTGTTTGCTTGTTTAACACTGGCCCCTTGCTAACCTCAGCCCTGATTTGGAGGGACCAAGGGTATGAGGTATTTCAAGCTCCTGGTTACAGAAAGTTCACTTCTCCTAGGTGTGTCTGTCAGAGACTTCTAGCAGCAAAATCATGATGCATATGATGAGCTGTCAGTCACCAGCAGTTAAAGTTTTTTATTTTGAAGAAAACGTGATCTGAATCGACAACTTGTGATGAAATATTTGATTATGTGGTTTCTAAATTTTTTGTTGATAATTCCTTGATGGGATTTCCTTCCCCCCCTCCCCCCTTAATTTTCTTCAAGCATCTTTATTGGTGGACCATTGATGTAATCTAGCATGACAATCCTATGTTCTTGTACAGCTCTCTCCTACCTTTCCTCGTCTAGTTACATATAAATAAGAGGGTACTCAAGCACTTCATTTATTAAAGTGGCCCAAATCTTTGAAAGTAATTTTTTTTTTTTTTTTTACTAAGTGTGGGTTTGGGTATTTGTCTTCCATGTTCCTCTTAACCTATATTATATTGAAGATGTGCAGGTTCATGAAACTATTGGACATTTACACTGCCACAACCAGCCTTTCAAAATTCTGATAGTACTTCTTAGACAGCATTAACAAAACATTTACTTTATTTAATGATAAACTTTAATATTTAGTCTTATTCATGGATGTTTAGAGAAGACCAAGGATTCTATAACCATGGTTTGCTGTGGGTGGGTACAATGATTTGGTTTTTAAGTGACTTTTTGGTACGTGAATATGCTATGTATATTACAGAAAGGAATATTCATTTTGCTCTCTTTGACAATCTAAAACATGAATGGTTAAAAAAATTGTTTGCAGCACATGGTCTTCTTTAAACTGGCTTCACTTGCAGCACTGGCAGTGGAGGAACAAAACTGAAAAATAAGGCGGATATAGGTTTAAAATGTTGTTAGTAAAATTACTTAAGAATACTCTGCTAGTTTTGCCAAGGTGCAGTATCCTGCAGTTGTGCTGACACAACTGTTTGCAGGCTTGTACTGTGAGTCAGGTCAACTTCCTGATCTCCTCTGTGGTATAGACTCACAAACAGTTCTTTGGGTGTAATTATGACAAAAATGGGCTTCAGTATGGAGATGCGAAGAAGCAGGGGCAAAGCAATTTGTACTGTACTGAACGATTTGTATAGTGAAATTGCAGTCTAAGCAAGTCCAAAGATGTCATTGTTCTGTTTCGGTTCCAATTTTCAAAAGCAGAAAAATTTAGATTGTGACACTAATGAGTTTTTGACTGTAACTATTTACTTATCGATGAAGTTCCTGTGGCTGTATGACCAGATCATCTTGTGATATTTCAGCTGAAATATAGAAAGCTACAGCTTAGTATATTAAAGAAAATAGAAATCAGTTTCTTAAATCCCCAGATGCTGGACTGTAACTACAATATTTACTCAAAGGCAGAGGAACTGGTCTTGAAGCAAGGAAAGAAGTTTTGAGATGATAAAGTGGACAAGTGTGTGTACATGATCCTATGGAAAGAAAACATCCACTTTCAAGTCAGGCCTCGTGTGTTAGACCTGTATACAAGCATGTTACAACTTTCATCTACTTCAATAAGATGTCTGAAGTTTAAGTTTGTTGCCAAATAAACTGTAGTGATGCTCCTAATTTTTTACTGAAGCTTTGAATTCTTGTGCTGAGCAAGGTGAAGACTGTGCAGATTTGAACAAGCTTCAGTAGATCACATGAAGACAATATGAAAACATTTTTGTTCTACTACAGAAGGAGAGAAATATGAAATTGTGGTTAGACCAGTGGACCGTGTCTTGAGATCAAGATTTGGGTATGAGTCATTACCTGCGAGGCCTTGGGTGGCTTCATCTGCTTCCGCTTGTCCGCAGGAGAAGTGTTCACCCATTTTGTATCTAAATGTACATTCTTGCAGAGATTGTGGATACATGTTTATTAGCATCTTCGAAACACAAACACTATTTTGATACAGAATTTCATGGTACTAGTTTCGAAGGGACATAAAGCATCATGAGAAATATTTATGCTAGAACTGTTTAAAGCCCATACTGGCATGCTCCTGCTTTTCTGTGTAACTTGCTGGGTTAACTTCTTGCATTATTCAGTTTGGTCTTTTGGGTGGTTCTGTTGCAGGGGGAGGGTGAGGGGACAGAGATTAAGATTTCCTTGGACTGAGGCCTTTGGCTTTGGCAGCATCGTATATTAGGGTCATTTGGGCATGAGAGGTGTCTACCCACTTCTCTCAAAACACAGCCAAAAGGCTCTCCGTCTTTCTCACAGAATGAGTCACATGGGATTTGGGACTGCTCTTCCACATTTGAAAGTGTGAAAACACCTTGCGTGCACATTCCCCTTGATTTACAATTACCTGTTTATTTTGTAAAATGGTTATGCTATAAAATGGAATGATAATAGGATATAAAATTAAGGGCTGAGCCATATATCATCATCTTTCCTAGCAGTTTTTCTGTGTTGTTTCTTTCATTTTTTTCTCTTTGAGTCTCGATGTTCCTTACAGAACTATATGGGGTCAAGATACACTTCCTCTTTAGTCTTCAGATGGAGTGAGTGCCTGTGTGAAAGTATACCCTGAATCACGAGATGAGTTATGGTGGAAGAGTTGGAACCACTCTAGGTTGAGAGTAGGACTTCTATACCTAGAGATTATACTTCTTTTGTTAAGGTCTGAAAAAGTCATTTCTTTTGATAGGTGTTAAACCAAGCTACCATTCAACTGATTAGAACTTCTTCTTTGATCTTACTTCCCTTAAAAATAAATAAATTACATACCATTACCATGTATTCCATTTACTGTGATTTAAGAGAATTACTATCAAATTGCAGTAATTTGGAATTATTTCAGTGCTTTTTTCTCCCGTGCAGATGGAGCCGTCTGAAATTAATATGTGTGAGATGGGTTAACTTGGTATGTATGTATGTGATGGCAAAACTGCTCATCATTACTACCTTTCTTGGAACCTTTTCCAAACATATGGAATGGTTTCTCTGTAAGGAACAGCTAAGTTAGGACCTGTCAATCTGGAAAAGAGATGACATGGAAGGGAGGCATGTGATGGAGGCTCACAAAATCATGACACATGTGGAGAGAGTGGACAGAAATTGATAACTCATCTCTTCCAGTACATGAACTAGGGGATCTCAAACAAAGCTAATATGAACCAGATTTAAGCAAAATAAAGTCCAGTCCCTGACCCCAGTACAGTGGATAGGAGACCTGTGGAATTAATTGCTAAAGGGCGTTGTGGATGCTAAAAGCTTATGTGGATTTTAAGGAGTCTGGGTAAGTTCATGAAAGATAAATGGTTTGAGATTTACTAAATATAGAAAATCACATCTGGCTTAGGAAGTTCTTCTAGAGGAAAATGGAAGTACATTTGGGATATATATTATATGTTCTCACTCTTCAATGGCATCTATTTATAGCTATTGCTGAAGATCAGGATACTAGTAGAAATGAATTTCGTACTGACCCAGTACAGCTGCTCTCATGCACTTTCCTTATATCCTGTTGCTAAAGCTGATCTTGACTTTCTAATTCTTTTCTAATCCTGATGTGAGTATGAAAATCAAACTGTTAGCACACCAGACTCAGAGGAGGGGAAAAAAAAAAGAAAGATCAAAATGTTCCTCTTCCCTTACAAGGCACTTAGCCCTCCCTCAGTTCTTTAATTTATAAATACTTTTTTCCTCTGTCCCTAGTGAAAAATGTAAATGTGAGGCCACAGAAACAACAGGGAAGTCTTGCATACAGTTATGGGAAAGACCACTGAAGGTGAGGCTAGTACAGAGGAAATTTAGTTGCATAATTACATGGTGTCATTTCAAGGAAGGAGTGGGAGACTTCAGCACATGGAACCTGTCTCTGATACCCACCCTGCTCACTGTATATCTGTCTTGCATATTTATACATTAACACAGATTATTTTTTGACCAGATTACTGGTCTGTTGGACTTGGTTTACCAGGAGTGGAACATAAGTAACTGGTCTTAGAGAAAAATGCAAGTAGTTGAGCTCTGTCAGTTTATGATTTTGATCGAGCTGGTTCTTGCAGCCTGGCTTGCCCTATGAGGGTATGTCATGTTTTATTTTATTTATTTATATCTTAATTTTCCTTCCGCCTACATAAGTTAAACAGACCTGCCCTGTCAGTTTTGCTCACTGAAGGAAGCAAATGTTCCATGTAATGCAGTCTGCTTATTTTATCACTGTGGAAGTCAAATTCTTAAAGGTGAAATAGTAAATCGTGTTTGTTTCTATAATTCTGACTACTGCTGAATGAATGTGTTCAGCTTTGGGCCCCTCAGTACAAGAAGGACATAGAGGTGCTGGAGCGTGTCCAGAGGAGGGCAACGAAGCTGGTGAAGGGTCTAGAGCACAAGTCTTGTGAGGAGCGGCTGAGGGAGCTGGGGTTGTTTAGCCTGGAGAAGAGGAGGCTGAGGGGAGACCTTATTGCTCTCTACAACTACCTGAAAGGAGGCTGTAGCGAGGTGGGGGTCGGTCTCTTCTCCCCAGTAACAAGCGATAGGACGAGAGGAAACGGCCTCAAGCTGCACCAGGGGAAGTTTAGGTTGGATGTTAGGAAAAACTTCTTCACCGAAAGGGCAGTCAGGCACTGGAACAGGCTGCCTAGGGAAGTGGTTGAGTCTCCATCCCTGGAGGCCTTTAAAAGAAGGGTAGACGTGGTGCTTGAGGACATGGTTTAGTGGTGGACTTGGCAGTGCTAGCTTAACGGTTGGACTCGATGATCTTAAGGGTCTTTTCCAACCTTAACGATTCTATGATTCTATGAATTACAAAGAATATTTTCTCTTTGTGTCCTCTAGGTACGTTTCTCATATATGCGGATGAAGTATCTCTTCATCTCTTGGTTAGTAGTATTTATTGGCAGCTGGGTTATGTACGTTCAATACTCGACCTACACAGAACTATGCAGAGGACATGACTGTAGGAAAATAATAGTAAGTATATTTAGCATAGCTTTCTTAAGTGTTTGTCCTGACTAATTCCACAGCCAATTCCATCAGTGCCACATGTAAATTAATCAAATTCTGATATTCCATCATGTTGAAGTAAGATTACATCTTCAATTACAGATAAAACCAGTTATGTTTCTTAACATTGTTTTGGTATAGGGTTATTAAAATTGTTTTCTTAGATTTTTCTGTCAAGAGTCAGGTGTTGGGAGAGATATAGTTGTTGCCTCCTTTCTTGGGCAATTTGTTAAGTATTTTTCTCCCTGTTTGTTTCAGTGTGATAAATACAAGACTGGAGTTATTGATGGGTCAGCATGTAGCAGTCTTTGTGCTAAAGAAACATTGTATTTTGGGAAATGTTTGTCAACAAAGCCCAACAACCAGGTAAGGCTTTACTCATCCAGCCTAATTTTATTCTTTCCCACTGAAATGTCGTTCTCTAGAACATCAAGTAGACTTTAGTGTCAGCAAGCTGTATCTGTTTGATACAGATTGTTTCAAACTCTATTTGCTGTGACATGCAGAGCATGTTTCTAAATATTTATATAATATACCTATATAGAGAGAATATATAGGTATACTATGTATTATTAATAATATATTATATACAATATGCACCTATATATTGTACCTGTATATGATATATTATTCCTGTATGTAGAGGGGTATATTATTATTTTATAATACATTTTATAAACATATATATATAATATACTGGATCCTGCTCTCCTGCTTCCCAAATAGAAGCAGCAGCCTCTTAACCTATGCAATGATGGTGGCAATGCCAATATACTGTTTATCAAGCTGTCTTTGTATTTTGACAGCATAGTGTTGCCTAAGTAAGTACCTGCAGTAGTGTGTTGTATTTGAAGCTGCCATTGTTTGAACGTGCTCTGTGCATTGTCTGTACGCAGGACTCCATTTTCTAATGTGTTGCTACTTGACTCGATGCGGTGGTTGGAGTACAGGTGGTCTTTAGGTGATGGACTTCGACAGTGTTTTTTACCTTTTTCCCTCTTTTCCTGCATAGATGTATTTAGGAATCTGGGGAAATCTGCAAGGTGTTATAAAATGCCAGATGGAAGAAGCTGCTCAACTTGATTTTGGTACTGACCCAGAACCAAGGAAGGAAGTAGTCCTATTTGATAAACCAACAAGAGGAACCACTGTTGAGAAATTCAAAGAAATGGTATATGGTCTTTTTAAAGTAAGTATATGCTTATTTAGTCTATTTTGACAGAAAGGCTTATTTTCCTGCAGCTGGAGAATGCCCTATTGTATGAGCCTTGTTCAAGTGGATGTTAGAAAAATAATCAGCACAAAAATAGTTTTATCCGGAGGTGCTTATCTCGAAGTTTGAAGTAACTATCAGGTTTTTTCCTTACATACCAGCTTCCATCTGTTAAAAAAGTATCATCTTGCATGTCCACAGCTTCACTTGTATTTGTATAGAAAAGATGGTAAAAATACATATTTTCTGCTGCTTTTGGTGTTACTGTAACCAGATACAAAAACTGAAGCACACTTTGAAAACTGTTCATGCTTGGGAAGAGTTACTATGTTGACTGAGCAGCAGGAACCTCTCTAACCAGAATGACCAGCCATACTTCTCCCAGTTCTTTCTGTGTTATGTTAATGTGATACTTATTTCTATTGCTTTAATGCTACCCCAGAATTTTCATAATATAGTCATCACTTCGATGCTGTGTCAATACTGATTTTGGGGTTTATTTCTTAAAATTCTCTTGCTGTTGTTATAGCTCCTGTGTCTCCAGTGATGGAAATAATGCTGTTCTAGCTGAGTGAGCATGTGTGTGCACATGCACACACAGATAACATAATTACGTAAAGCTGATGACAGTTGTCATGCATTACAGTAGCTTTGTCTCTTAAGAATGGGTGAGCAGCAGGTGTTTTAGAGTAGTTTTTAGGAGAATTTGGGAAAAGTTTATCTGACTGTGTGTGTGTGTTGGTGGTAGTTGAAAATGCAACAGTTCCGATTCCAGCAATGGCTTCTTTCTCTGTGTTGATACAGAGGTAGTTGGAGGTGTGTTATAGCAAATAACAAAATGAAGTATTTCAGTACACTTACCATATGGGATTTGTACCCAGTATGTCTTGGTACTTTTTATAGTTGGCCAAAATGTAGTTGATCCTGTAGTTTCTCTACACCTGTAAGGTTTAATAAGCTGAAAACTAAACCTGATCTAAAAATTTGAATGCTACATACTTTTTCTAAGAGAATATTTAACAAGCTACTTGATATGATTTTTCTAAAGACTGATCTGACCAAGAACAATGTTTGAATTTTAATGTTTGCAATTTGAAATGCAAAGAACACTAGTACTTTCAGAAGATCATATACCTGGTGCCTTTGAAAACAGAACAAAAAGGAAGCTCTTCAGGCATCTGGTAGCAAGTCCTGTAACATCTATGACCAATGAAAACTAGAACATAACATACCCTACCATACTATCCGTAGAAGGAGAATAACAGGAGGTAGAATGACAGGTGGACTGGTGGTAGTTAATGAAATCATACTTAATCTTTTTCGTTTGTTGCTTTTAGGCAAAATTGGGTGAACAAGGAAATCTTTCAGAACTGGTTAATCTCATCCTATCTTTCGCTGATGGAAACAAAGATGGTAGAGTTTCTTTGCCAGAGGCGAAATCTGCATGGGCACTTCTGCAGCTAGATGAGTTTCTGTTAATGGTGATCTTGCAGGATAAAGAACATACTCCCAAGTTGATGGGTTTTTGTGGGGATCTCTATGTGACCGAAAGAGTTGAATATACCTCTCTCTATGGAATCAGCCTTCCATGGATTATAGAACTTCTCATTCCCTCTGGCTTCAGAAGAGGCATGGACCAATGGTTTACTCCATCATGGCCAAGAAAGGCAAAAATAGCTATAGGGCTTTTAGAATTTGTGGAAGATATTTTCCATGGACCCTATGGAAACTTTCTTATGTGTGATACAAGTGCCAAAAACTTGGGATATAATGATAAATATGATTTGAAAATGATGGACATGAGAAAAATTGTGCCAGAAGTGAATTTGAAGGAAATAATTAAAGATCGGCAGTGTGAATCAGATTTGGACTGTATTTATGGTACAGACTGTAGAACTCTCTGTGACCAAAGCAAAATGAGATGTACCACAGAAGTAATTCAGCCAAACTTGGCAAAAGCCTGTCAGCTACTTAAAGACTATCTGCTTCGTGGTGCTCCTTCTGATATCCATGAAGAACTAGAAAAACAACTGTACTTGTGTATTGCCCTTAAAGTCACAGCAAATCAGATGGAAATGGAGCATTCTTTAATACTCAATAACTTAAAAACTTTACTGTGGAAGAAAATTTCCCATACAAATGACTCTTAGCTTCTTCACCAGCAGAAGATAATACTGATGCCTGCCACTAGAGGTGGCCTACCACATTTGACAAAAACGATCTGCAGCATTTTTTAAAGACGTTTCTTTACTCAGATTTCATGAATGGCTCTTTAACTCTTGCCCTTCAGTCAGTATTTATGACGGGGCTTCTCAAAGAACGAACATGCCACTGAACGATCAGGCAGAGGCCAGAAGCACTTCTGGTGTTCCAGTGCTGTGTTACGGAAACAAAAACCCTGCATGCTTGACTGTTCTGTGCACTTTGTCAGATCTTCAACAGGATGAAAATATTCACTGTGCCACCACATCAACTGATGGAACATCTTACAATTCTGTGAAAATCATTGCTCGCTTGTGAAATACCTGAAAAAGATTTTTACCCTAAGTACTTTCATGAAGAACCACCACTACTGCAAATAATGTGTCCGAGTCCAAGCTGCTGTTGTGAATAAACTGAACTGTGAGATTGAAGTTTACTAATACCTTGGCATGGCAGAATTTGCACATCAATAATTTTTAAACTGTGGAAAATTAGAATTTTGTTCTAGAACTGACAGGTTGTAATATGAGACTTAAATTAGATTCTGTTTACACCTTGTTACCTCATGCTTACATCTTGAATGTTTAAGTAGTTCAACACTTTTTAATTAAGTCCTTACACAGTGAACCATGTTGGAAGCCAAGAATTTTAGAATGTCATTTCTTAAAATCATGTATATAGTCGAGCAGCAATACCAACATCAGTTTCAAAAACTGTAGATTATTGTACTTCAGTTGAAATCTTTAACCCAAATTAAGCTGTAGCAAGTATTGAAAAGTAAGGAGCTTGTGGACTGAGCTATTTTATGAGAACTGAAGTTAAGTAATGCTTAAAAATACTGATAGCAGAAATGTCCTAACAGTTAAAAAAGGAAGCTTGCACAGTGTAGGAATCTGCTGCCTGACATGTGAAACAAGTCATAGTTGTGGATGAACTCCTGACTCTTAACTGTCCCTCCAAATTTAGCTACAGCCTCGTACTTACTTTCTGCAATAGTGAAGAGGATTAAGCTGGATCGTTCAGGACCATGTAATATTGCTTAAGTGGGAGCCTACGAGATAGTAACAGCTAGGAATGAGGTGGAACATAAGTGAGCTGGAGTGTGTTACTATTTTTTTTTTTCTAGTAGCATCTATGAGTCATTGTTAAGTCCCAAGTCATGAGTAAATAAACACCATCTGATCCTGGCACTCCACTTGGCATGACAACTGTACCACCTTTAATCTGCATCCCTGTTGTTTCTCAGATTTACATCTATGTTCACAATTATGCAGAATTGGATGTCCGTAAAACACCTTAATACTCTGCTCACTACTTATCTGTTAATGTTTGATTTATAAATGCTTTAGGCATGAAGTAGTTCAATCCTTAATGATTTTAATGGCTGTCATCCATATACTTCTAAATCCTGGCCCCTTAATTCATTTTCAGCATAGGTAAGAAGGACAAACTTTATTTAAATGTTCAAAAGGTTGTTAATTGCTTTAGGTATCCTATATTAAATGCATTCCTTGAATGATTAAACCAAAGTACAGGACCAACATAATTTCTCCATACAATATGTAATAGTATGCAGCTTGGGTTAAGAGTGTACAGTTTTGTAAACATCAGCTTTTTAGTTTAGGAATTACTATGCTAATGCTAATTATTGCCTCTAACTTGATTATGTCCTCTAACCACAAGCTAGTAAGTATTTGTAGCCAGCAATGCACTCAAACGTAAAGTGGTCATGTTCTTGGTGGAAAAATCTGACTGTAATTGCTACTAGGTTTTGGGCAGAGAAGATTGAGTCCAAAGTGATGTCGGGTATTTTAAACAACTGGAAAACATGTTTAATAGTACAGTTTGTTGTACAGAACCATCATTTTTATTGCTGTTGCATCACATTGGAGCTTTCATTGGAGAAAAAAAAAAACCAACCCACACTTTCATTTACAATAAATCACAGGCCTCCTTTTCTCTTTCAATAGCAGTACTTACCATCTATCAGTATCTTAAAGCAAAACATCCATGTAGCCTACTTGACTCATGTTTTAACTGTACAAGCAACTTCAGTAAGTCTAATGGGGAAACAAATAAGTAAGAAGTGCCTATGAAAATGAGATGGAATAGAAGATAAGTACAGAGGCCTTGACTTGCCCCTATCCCTTAGGCATGTATATGCAACTGGAAAGTGAATTCTCTTGTCTAATCACTAAATAATGTAAAGTATTTAGCTTAAGACAGTACCTGTTTCAGTAGCAGCCAGAACTTCGAGCTGAGTGCGTGGAAGTGCTTTACTTCAGTTACTGGAGGAAGCTTAAATACTGCAATTAGACATGTATTCCTGTATCAGCTACAGTTAAGTCACAGTAGGGAAAGTGTTGCCATTTGTGTTACGGAAAGCCTAAGGCTGCCTTTGGGCTGAGGCTTTAGAACCTGTGACTACTCCTCCTTTTTTCTTAAGCTACAGATTCCCCCATAACATTAAGTATGCTAAAAGAAAAAGGGTGAAGGACATGCAAAGCTCTTTTTAAAAATTTAAAATCTTTTTGTAGTTAGAAGCAGCAAGTTCTTATACCTAGTGAAATTGATTTCCCCTTCTTATGGGAAGAATTCTAATGCAGCAGCCTTGGTTTTGAAGTCTGTCAACTCTTCTCTGTGAACGAGTTCAATTCGTACAGTACTTTGAAGAGGAAAAAAAACCCTTAAGGCTACAGAATATCTGGATCATAAAAAATATTCTGCATCTTTATAAGATACATTAATAAGCCAGTCTTACACAGTTGCTTACTCAATAAATTTATTGCCACTTTTTCCAAAGCTTCATAGAAAATTGTGGAAGTTGTCTTAACTGTCAGCTGCACGTTCCTGGGCCCTGAGAAAGCTAGCCTTCTTCTGAGCAACACGGTCTTTCTTCTGGGCGAGGGACATCTTGGGACAGTTCCATCTGCAATGTAAGCACAGTGTATGACACATCCAAGGCAGAAATAAGCAAAGAGGTGGTCAAGAAAGCTGCAGTGCACCAGAACTGTGATGCTAGAACATATTCCCACTTCTGTAACATGCTTTATTTCCTTTTAATGATTTAAGGCTGTAGTTAGGGCACCACAAAAAGGCATGGTTAGGCTGCAGCAGTTTAATTCCTCAAGAGGTAAGCTCAGTACTCTCTTGTGACTAGACTACAGGCAATATCAAGCCCTATGCAATAGCTGTGCCTTTATTTCTTTTCTCCCAGACCCTTGAAAAAACAAAATAGTTTAGTACTGACAAATTAGTCAGCCTGCCCTCTCCTGGAGAAGCAGCTTTCCAACTGAAAACACTTAAGACCTGAAGACAGACATTTAAGAGTTCCAGCTATTCAGGCCACGAGCATGCTCCACTTCTGAATTTTATTTTTTTTTATGTAGTTGAGGGCTCTTAAATTTTAGATTCCTACTGCTAATGTTCACTCCTGACAAAGTTATAGAAAATTGCTTACTTGACCTAAAATACATGTGAGTTTTGACACAACTGCAATGTGAATCACATTATTTGTTTTAACGTAACTAAAGTATCTTCAATAGAGAGGTCACATTCATGTTAAAAGAGGATGAGAGTTTTACCTCTTTTTCTTGACTTCTCTCTTGGGTTTCTTTTCATGGACTGGATTATCCCGTATAGCAGCATGGGCTTTTTTATACATTTCTTCCATCTTAAAAAAAAAAAAAAAAAGTTAAATTCTCCATAGTGGTCGAGTTGTAGGATCATATAAAAAATCCAGGATACCTGTACCTGAGCATGCACTAGAAACAAGTTTAATCACAACACAGCTTGTAATTTTGTGTGGTTGCCTTTAAAATGCTTTCTTCATACAGAACGTCACTGCCACAGCACACCGAAATTCCTACTATCACTGTAATACAATTTAAATATCCAAACCCACAACGTAGACACAAAACGGAGAAATTAATTTTATCCTTGTTTTACAGTTAGGGAACCAAGGCCATAGAGTAACTACAGACTGCTTACAAGTCTCATGCAGTTGAAAAACTTTTTCCTCTGAAGCCTACTTTCAGTGTTACAGCTTCCCTACATTTAAATTAAAAGGCAGTCTAGAAAGTTATTCTACTTCTGCCTAGAATAAAATACTTTGTGTTTCCTTATTAAGCCAAAATTACTCCACATAAACTCTGTCATCAGACATGTCATCTTACCACTTTTCAGACCCTACTGTAGTACACATTACAAAGCTGCTTAGTAAGAGCGAAAGAGTACAAGAGGTTGTGAAGGCAGCTACAGGTTAACAAGTCTTGCAAGAACCATGACAGTCCCTGCATCATCCCCAAGGATGCCATAACAGAAATACATCAGCAGTGGCTACACCCAAACAGCAATTTCTGACAGCTCATATAGCAGGTCATTGCACTTGGGCGACTATTCTTCCTAACATGTAAGACAGGAAAATGGAAGCGATCTGTCCGGTTACATAGATCAATAGCAGAAGGTGCCAGAGGATCCCCACCCGTCTTCTGCTCTGTCTCAAAGACAACTATGGCTCCATAATGGCACCAATTTTAAGAATACCTTTGCTGGTGGTTAATTAAGACCACTAGACTCCAGCTGTGAAAAGTTTAAAGAATAACCGTCTAGCTAGTGACATAAGTCCTGGACCCACTTCATTGCAATACAAGCTGTAAATATTGTTTGCTTAGTAAAACAGATGAAGCTGTCATTTACAATACAATGTTACTTATTTTTTAGTAAAGACTAAGTTACAAAAAATTAGCAATAAGTTAAGTTTACAAAAAAACCAAAACCCACAGCAATAAAGGGATAAAGAATGAAGTCGTTTTCCATAGCCTAAAAAGGGGACATGAGAACGTTTGTTTCAAGCTTCCGGACCAGCAATTGGGGAAATCAAGTGAAAACATTACAGGCAGCAACACAAGCCATCTGAAAGGAGTTTAACACTTGAAAGAAGTCAAAGCAGCACCTTGGTAATCTTACATATCTCCTACTGTTTTGCACAAAATACTCTTAAAATTTATAGTTTTAAAATAAGATGCATTACACTCTCTGCAGTGTGACACTAGCTTCTACAATAGGGCTAGCTTGGGCTATTCTATATTCACCTGGGACCTAGAACTACCTATAAGGTCATAGAAATGATAAAACATGTGACATAGAGCCCATCCTCACAGTTGCAACCACCACAGCTGAAGAAATGACAGGCTGTGGTGCAGGATTAGGAATGAGTGAGTAGCATGTATAGAAACTTCAAGCTAATTTCCATATCAGAAAAAAAAAAAAAAAAG